GAGAACATGTCTATAGGATTATGCATTTCTGCATCTCATATAGAGAACCTGTCTATAGGATCTCTTAAATTCTGCATAAACATCTATCACTAGGCAAACATTTTATAGGTTTACATAACAAATTGCCTTCTAGATACCATGCCTATAGGACTCCTGCATTTCTATAAACGTTTTTTAAACCAACCACGCTTAGAAAGCATGCCTATAGGAGTAACCAGCTGAATCTGAATCGTCTACAAGTCTAAAATCAGTGGTAACGATACCCAATACCCGCAGAACTTATGTTTTTCTATAATCAGCAAGCCTTCTTAAAATCAGTGTACTCCTGCATTATTAGATATCATGCCTATAGGTTTCACCTAGGCAAGCCATTAGGTAATTAATCAACTGCACCATTATTTGATAATTACAACCAGCAGGCAGGCCTAATTCGGACTTCTTATCTGAAAATATGTGATAAATCAGCCTGCCTTAACGCTTTAAGTTAATTCAGACCATAACCAGTACGTGCAAGACATGGTAAACAATCTGTCTTTAAGTGAGGAGGCCTGTCTGAGCCTTTTTATCTGTTATGTGTTTCCCATATCTACTTTATGTGTTTTTGTTTGTCGCCTTAGAATTTTATCCTTTTAAACTCTGAAAAGCCCCAAATATCCCTCCCCTTTTAGGACTAATAGTCCCAAATACCTCCGGGACTGATAGAATTGGGACAGGTAATAGCATGCAATAAGTAACGAGACTATTCCGCCTTTTAATACCTTAACGGGGTGGGAAAGGGTAGATATAGATATGATGACCACGCGATAACACCACGTGTATAAACGGTTACCTGGTATTGTTTGGGGTGATCCATATTATTTATAAACCTAGGACCCCCCCCTTCCCTTTACTTGTTTAATCTTTCAGAATTTCTTTTTTAAAAAAAAAAAAGAAACTGCTCAATTTTCAGCTTCTTTAACGTTTCTTTTACTTCAATTACTTGCATCAATTACGTGAAAACCTTCCTTTTACTTGTTTATTTTCAGAACTTTAAAATTGCTTTCTTCCCAACTTTCAGCTTCTTTAACTTATTTTGCTTCAGTTGCTTGCAACCTTATGTGAAAACTATCTCGTATTTGCAATTCTTGCTTGTTCACTTGTCATTTGCACTTAAAGTCACAATTGTAGCATGGCGGGGAACCACACTAGTGGATCTTGAGAGGTGCCTAACACCTTCCCCTCGAGATAATTTCAAGCCCTTACCCAATCTCTGGTTTTTCTAAATCAAATTTCTTTAGTGTCCTAATGCACTCAATCATTAGGTGGAGACTCTTCAATTGCAAACCAAATTCCCAAAAGGAAATGAGTTGTCCGCCCAAATGTCATAAACCCGATTTCGCGAGAGAAAGGGGGCATCGACAATGCCCAACTCTAGTCCTAAAAATGATAAGCGGTCGCTGCAAATATAATCCGGTCTAAAAGTCCGGAGTCGAATCCCACAGAGAACTAAGGTTTCACTATAACTGTTCAATATCACTCGGAAGACAAGCTCGAACAATTTCTAAGTTATAATATTAAGATTTTTATATCTAACTAATTAACTAAGAAACTAAAGCAGTAAATTAACAACTAAAGATACTAAGGGTTGGAGATTAAATTTAGGAGGTCTAGAGTTATGATTTCCCCAAATGTTGGAATCCTTCCCGCTTTGATCCCTACAATTTCGCCTATGTATTCTCTACTGATCGTGAGCACTTTAGGTGTCGTAATTCTCTCTCAAGCAACTACAATAATTTACTAGACATATTCTCTCGAACTACGCTAGTTGGCTTTATGTAACCGCTCATTATGACCACGCCAAGGCTTTATTAATACTAAACCCGCCTTTAAACCCGCTGTATTGATTTATCACATACGTTAGGAGTGACGTTGCTCAACAACCACCTAAATATGTATCCTTTCTAAAGCAACACATAATAAATAGTTACAGTCAATCGACGGCTATTCAATCAACTGAAATAAGCACGTAGTTGAACAAATAGACAAATTTAAAGGTTAAATTATATTAAAACATAACAAGAATTCATCCTCCAAGAGGTTCCATCAAAATCCTAGATAACAAATTAGCTATTCATAATAGTATGCAAAAATACAATACTAGAATTCATAACCAATAATGGAAATAGGAAGAAGGAAGTGAAAAATTCGTAGAAGAATTCTCCGCCTTGCTCCTAGTGTGTTCTTGTCTCCTTAGGTCGAATCTCCGGTCTCCTTGGCCTCCTTAGGTTTAAATTATGTCAAAATTATGTTAAAGGTCCTCAAAATACCATGTATATATACCAAGTAGGGTTGTGCCCAAACAATTACACCTTCTCCTATGCGAAAAAGGACACTTTTTCCGGACAGGACGTCCGCGGCTGCGGATTGGACCGCGGACCTGACCGCGGATTTTGGCCATGTTCTGTCCGCGGCTGCGGATCTGATCGCAGAGCACTTGTCGCGCATTTTGCACCCTGTTCTGTTTGGAATTTGAAAAAACGTAAAACATGTAAGTTGTAGCCCTTTGAATTAGCTCCAACCATATATTGTGGTGCCAAAATGGAGTTCTGACCGAAAAGGGATGTGCATTTTACTAGACAGTGTGCAATATGCCTACTCGATTCTTCGTTTCGTTGCTCTATCATCCGTTGATCCCCGAATACGATCCCGACTTAATTCCTTGGGCTTTTACTCAGACTTCAAAGCTCAAACACTTGAATTCATTCCATAACATCTACATAGCTCAAAATCACTCCTACAAGCATAAAACACACAATTAGTGCAAAACACTAGCGATTAAAGCGCAAACTCAACTAAAGTGCAGTAAATTAGAGTGTAATAATCGACTAAAATACGTAATTATAGCCTATCATCAATTAGCAACATTAGATGAAAGACGGAAAGGAAATTTCATGGATGAGGTAGCAAATAAAGCGATGGAATACAAAAAAAATACATAATATTCCAAACATCTAAGCAAAAAAGGAACTTTTTCAATGTATATAGTTGAAATTTATTGAAAACATATAGATAAGTCAATATACAAAATTTGAGGAAGATTGGAGGTGATTTGGACTGGTTTTGTATCAAAATTCGTAATTAAATCGAGTTCAAAAAATTCTTCTGCGGCACATGTATCAAACATGTATCACGCATGTATCTCACACACAAGTATACATAGATATATATGTGATACACAATTGATACAAATATGATACATATGTAATACACAAATGATTCACAGTGTGATACACATATTATTTTTTTTTCGTGTTCAGTTTTTACTTCGAATATTCAATTCAATCCACCTCAAAACTTCACCAAATCATCCCAAAACTCAGATTCAAGCTCCTTAAGATGAACCCAATCTATTCTAATAACACCCACTCAAAAGAAAGTAAAAATTTTACTTTTTTTTCTACAAATAGCTAATTGGCTGATTAATAATATTTTATAAATTGGTCAATTTTTATAATGAGCTACTTATAAATTGACATAGCTGGTAGTTTCCCTTCCAAAATTTCTTAAGTGAATATTTACACTACTGAAAATAAAGTGTGGGCCAAATAAAGTGATGGAATATATTGAGCCAACCCAGATTGTTAAGCTTTGTTTGGCAAATATTGCAGGGAGAAATTCAAAAATAGCCAGATTTACCACTGGCCGTTGAAAAATAGCCAAGTTTCAAAAGTCATCGAAATTTAGCCACTTTAAATCTGAGCGAAAACACTGTTCAAGATCCGAAAAATACGCCCGCAAATTTTACAGGAGTTCCAGCATAAGTATGCTTGAACTCCCGTAAATTTTACGGGAGTTCCAGGATAACTATGCTGGAACTCCCGCAAATTTTACGGGAGTTCAAGCATAATTATGCTGGAACTCCCGCAAATTTTACGGGAGTTCCAGCAAGTATAATTGTCCATTATAATATACTGGAGTTTGGAGCACTGGTGCTCCAGTCTCCTGCAAATTTTACAGGAGTTAGCAAAGTATACCGGTCCAGCATAATATGCTGGAGTTCGTACACAAATGCACCAGAACTCCCGTATATTATACTGGACCGGTCCCTGTTGTAGCAAAATAGTGGATATTTTTCATTGACTTGATAAATGCTGGCTATTTTTCATTGATCAGTGTGAAAACTGGCTATACCATAATATTTTAACAATATTGCAGGCTCGTCTTATACAAGCACTGGGTTTGGGCCATGTGGCTCGTGTGAGAACATGGGCTACGTTTCGTTTGATTCATAAAAGAAAGTAGCACATGAAAACTTTTTCATTTGCTGATTAATGCAACATATAATAATTGTTTCCTTGATTTAGTTCCAATTATGATCTGAATAATTATTTCAATTTTATTTTCCTTAAATTGCTTCATTCCTCCTATGGTCTTCTTTTCGTTTGCAATTTTTCATTAATTCACAGTATAAGCTTGGTTGGTCTCTAATTTACAAGATGGACGGATAAATAGTGTTCATGTTAGTTTAAAGGAAAAAGATTAACAAAGAAATCCATGAGATATTCTATTCCTAATACAGTGAGGGAGATTAACTGTGTGCTATCCATATGATCCGAGTATTTATGCTCATCGAAATGCAGAGAAAGACTGTGTATGCGCCTTTGAAGCTACGAGTAAATGCAGTAAACCGGCCCATAGACGGGCAAAGACACTAAGCTGTGCCCTATGCTATCACTCTGTCATTTCCATACTCGTCTCCCAAACTATTGGGTTTGATACTAGTTATTGAGTTAAAACGGTCCAAAGATACTCTTAACATAGTGTGATATTTTCTGCTTTTGGTCAAGTCCGCTCCGTTTTTCCCAAAAGTTCTCACGCCATTAAGAATATCCAACTCCTTGTAAGTAGAATATTTTTCATTTGTACTTTTCATGTGAGACTTTATTCACACACGTCTAACATATCTAGTAACCATTCAACTGATGAATAATTAATCAGAATTGCCAATAAAGTATTGTAAAATGACAAAACTATCAAAAATATTGAAATCATACACAATTGTTCTCAAAAAGCAAACCAAATTTAAAGACATTACCTAGTTATCTTCTCAAAATTGATGAAACTACTTGACATAAACCAAGCCCACAAATCAAAATTTCAAACTATTTTACAAGCCTGAATCAAGAAGGAGGGTTAACATAACTCAGAATTGCATAAAGAGCCTGTAGAACAGCCAATACCAAAAGAATTAAAGCAGCCAATGCTGAAATAAAAGACCAAGGAGAACTAAAATAAGTATACTTAAAACTAGCCCAATGAACATGCCAACTACTCTTATAATAATCATTCACCTTATTAAACAATTCCAACAAATAACACTCATCAATATCAAACATAACATCCTTCCCAAGATTATTAATGAATGTAGCAACCTCAGCATCTGTCCCAAAATAATTCTCAATTATGTTGCAATCACACAAATATTCAACATCCTTGTATGTGTTTACCAAACAATCTAACAATGTTGCAAAGGTTGTCATATGCTTTGAACAATCAACATGACATTGCTCATATGCCACACAATTTATCAAGAATGAACTCATAAAATCATCTATTGTAATTGTTGGCATTTCAATAAATCCTCTATTGAATTTTATAGACAAGAATGTCTCTTCTTTTCTAGGTTTAAGCTTAATTCCGGCGCGACGAAGCTTGGAAATACATTGTATTACATGTGTAGGTGAATTTCTTCTTTTTTTAGGGTTTTCATCATCTATGAAAATGTAACTTGATCTAAGAAAATCAAGTAAATGTTTGCCTTCAAGATTTCCAAAATTTTCAAGAACTTCATTAGGTCTTTGTAGTGTATAGTTAAAGAAAGTCAAAGCTAATTTGGCTAAAGAAGGAGTTGATTCTTCACCTGGCATTTTGGTAAATTCAAACAAGGATTGGAGTATGAAAAAAGGGATTTGATTCTCGAGTCGGATTAAATCCCTTAAGAAAAAAGGGTATATCCAAGACATCGAGATAAGAGGATCGTCTTTTTCAACAGGAACTACCCCTCCGAATTTACGAAAAAGTTCAATAATAAAACAACCATCAAGAACCAACATTTCTACAAACTCATCTCTATCAAAAAGTATAGCCTCAGAGTAACATTCCCTTGCTCTCATTTCTAGTGGCTGAATAACTTTCAAATAGTCCTCTAAATTAAGATCTTTTTCCTCAGTTCTCTTAAGCAAAGTGCCCAAAAATCTCCACTTGTGTTCTTCAATCATCTTGACATGATCCTTGCCATGGTGATATGGACCAATTGACACTATTTGAGGCTCGTAAGATCGGCCATTGACATTAATGAAACTTTGAGGTACTCGAAAAATACAACAAGAACTCCGACCGGCCGATTCGCTTAGAAGTTGAGGTGGTTGGGAAATTTTTTGTTGCATCAATTCTAGTTGATTCTTGTTTACTTCCCAATTCATTGTGACAACATATTGATCATCTTGGTTTTCAATTGAATAGTTACTCATTTTGATTTTGGGAGAGAAATGTAGATTTTTGAACGTATTTTCTTTGATTAATTGCTAGATATTTATGGAAAAGGACCAATAGGTGCATGGTACGTAAAGTATGTGGGGCGATAGTGTAATGAGCTGGAGAAGAACTATTAGGAACTCAAATAATTGAGGTAGGAGGAATATTTATTAATAGGCAACTAGTTCAGCACCACCAATTATTTTTCTTTAAACTATGAGCAGTTATTTGCTTAACTTTTTTAGTCTAATTTAAACTTTTATTTTAATGTTTGGGGGTGCTTTCACAATTTTAACAACAACGACAACAGCAACAACAACATATCCAGTGTAATCTCACATTGTGAGGTCTAGGAAGGTAAACTGTACGCAAAACTTATCCTTACCTTGTGGGGGTAGAGATGTTATTTCCGAAAGTCCCTCGGCTCAAGAAAAACAATTCTCAGCAGGTTTGAACAGGAGAACAATAATATATTTCCTGGTTTTAAGAACAGAAAACAAAAAGGAAGAAGAGCTATAGGAACGGTTAATTTGATGGTTAGCAATAACATGAAGATACATAAAATTTTCTCTCAACTCACTTTGTACTTTTAAGTTTTTTTTATGGATTATGTTTAACTTAAATAATTAATTAAGGTAACAGAATTTGTTAAATTAGATACTTACATGAGTGGAGGGGTAGGGTGGGTGAGTGGTGCAGAAAACAAAAAAACAGAAAATTGAAAATACAAAAAAAAAATGTAAAAATTTTGTTTAGGGGGTTTGGGGGGTGGTGGGGGGGAGGGGGGGAGGTAGGGGGTGTCACACCCCTTCTTCCCACCTACCCCCGAAATATATGTATGTATGGGTTAAAGAGTTTTTCCAATTAAAGTGACAAAAACTTGAGTAGGGATTATTTTATTGTTCAGAGTCGCCACTTGGAATTGATTTTTTCGGTGTTCCAAGTCACCATTTATTTGAATCCCTAGTCAAAGGAAGGTTTGACTCTATTTTTATCGGTCCGCGAAAACAAAGTTCGGATAAGGAATTCTGTTGACCGGGGAGAAGGTATAAGGCATTCCCCGAGTCCCGTGGTTCTAGCACGGTCGCTTTATTGACTTAAACTTGGCTTGAATTAATTTTGGACAAACTGTGATTTATATTATTTTCATGTTGTACCTATCCGCTTTTATCTCTTGATTATTAGAGAAATCAAAGAATGTTTTTGAATAATATAAAAAATGTCATAACCACGCTACGCGAGCGAATGCGTGATCGAATAAAAATAATTAATTAATTGTCATAATTGTGCCTCGCAAGCGAATCCGAAATCACGACAATCAATTATTGTAATACTTTTAAAAAAAAAAC